GTTTGTTTGTTTGTTTTAAAAAGGCAAATCCATATGTACTAACAAGGGAACATGTCCAAGATTTAGTACAAGGTGGGAAAAGCTGTGTATAATGTGATTCCATTGGTGAGAAAGAAAGAAAGAAAGAAAGAAAGAAAGAAAGAAAGAAAGAAAGAAAGAAAGAAAGAGAAAGAGGGAAGAGGGGGCGGTGGGAGCCCACTGTAACATAATAAACTATGGTCTGCCACACCAGTGAAATAAGCTATACTGTTTGTTTGTTTGTTTGTTTTAAAAAGGCAAATCCATATGTACTAACAAGGGAACATGTCCAAGATTTATTACAAGGTGGGAAAAGCTGTGTATAGTGTGATTCCATTGGTGAAAGAAAGAAAGAAAGAAAGAAAGAAGGAAAGAAAGAAAGAAAGAAAGAGAGAAAAAGAGGGAAGAGGGGGCGGGAGGGGAAAGGGAGAAGGAAGGAAGACAAGATCAACATGGGGAGGAGGGAGGGAGTTATATGCATTGAAGGTTGCCTAGAGGAATTAAAAACCCAAACATTAGCAGTTAGTGGTTTTTCCCCGCTTTGAGGAAATAGGCAAAATTGTGGGAGGATTTTGCTTCTAATATCATATGGAAATGTAATGTTTAGACCCTTATGGTAAGCATTTATTACCTTCCCCAAAAGAAAAAATAGCAGAGGTGTTTGTGTAAGTAAAGTAGACCACATCCCTGGGAACCCACTCCCCCCATCTGCCCGGCTCCTCTGAGCAGAAGACGGGCTTGCGGATGTCCCTAGCAGTCCTCCCGGCCTCGGCCGTCTCCACGCGCTCGGCGGGATCAGTGACAGAATAGAACTGTTTCCCGCATTCAATGTATTTTGGAACAATGCCTCCAGACTATCTTTTCATCTCTTTGTGAATAACGTCTGAATGGCAGCTCACTGTTATAGGACTGTTTCTTCAAATTCTGCTCCAGAGACAGAAATATGATATAATTTCAGCCATTTGTCTTCTAGCCCAGCAGCAGCTTTCAGGTACCATTAAAATTCCATTCCAGTTGCTGCTGTGACAGCACCAGAGACCCATTTGTGACAGGGTGATGAGCTATACTTCCCTTTTTCTAACATCAGCTCTTTTCCTAGAGAATGTATTCTATGTTAACAATACAAGGCAACGCGTATATTAATAATCCTTTACATTTATGTGGATTTTTTTATAGCTTTCAGATGCTGCCACATTAATCAACTCATTTTATTTGATCTCTGCATCAGTCCCGGGAGTTAGGGGAGAGGGGACAGGTGGATAAAAACGCTCTTAGAAATTTTTATAGATGCAGAAAATTGAGACCTAAATGACTTGCTAAAATTCACATAAGTAATGCATAACAGGACTGTATTCACTCAGTCAGGGTCCTTTGGTGGCAAGCAACAGAGACCAACTTAGCTGAAATAGGCAAGAAATAGCTCACCGTATCAAAGGAATCCTGGGCCCAACTGCTGTAACTCAGTGGTTGAGCATCAGCCTATGAACCAAGAGGTCAGGGTTCGATTCCCAGTCAGGGCACATGCCCAGGTTGTGGGCTTGATCCCCAGTAGAGGATATGCAGGAGGCAGCTGATCAGTGATTCTCTCTCATCATTAATGTTTCTATCTCTCTCTCCTTCTTCCTTCCTCTCTGAAATATATATATATATATATAAAGCAATCCTGAGAAAGAAGTCAAGTGCATTGTCCTCTCGGGGCACTTCCATCCTGGCAGTGGCTCCAACCACTTTTTGCCCCTGGATCCTAGTCCTGAGGTTCAAATTTTCATGTTCCTGGAAAGAAAATATCTGATTGGCCTACTTGGGTCATAGGAGGGCTGGGTCCCAGGACTGTACCCCAAAACAAGAAGGAAGAGGTAATTTCATGAACAAGATAGGGACCAGTTAAGAAGATGGGGAGAGAGACAAACAGACGAAAGCCTTAGACCGCCACTACTTGCCTCTGAGGGCCTAGAAGGCTGAACGCCTTCTTGCTGGCGTCCTCCCTCACTCCCTCCTTCTCTGCTGGCCACAGGTCTTATGTCTGCACTTGTTTCACTTTTCTTTCTCTGCTGACAGACCTCCTGGGCTTCCTCATTACTTCAAAATGGCAGGCTCAGCCTCCAAACACTTGCCCCCAAATAAGTCAGTATCTCGGTACCTCAACTCCAATTTGCAGGAGAGAGGCGCTGCTGTTCTCGCTCCCCTGGTCTAATTAGCTAACAGGTTGTGTGGCAAAAGGCACCTTGGGTTGGGGAGGAGGTTTGCATGATAGATGGGGGTGCTTCGTCCAGGCCCCGAGGACAGAAACCACAATGCAGCCTCCTGGAAACTCAGAATGGAATCTACATACCAGCTTCGTGTGGCCCAAATGCCTTTCCAGTTTGATTCTCACAGCTGTTTCAGTTCTGGGTCTCTCCAACTCTCAGCTCTTGGGAAAGCATCTGTGTTCATCTTTTCAGCTGGTTGCATAAGTCACAGCTTATGGTGAGGCCATCCGTGGTTGGTCCTCAACCCCTGTCCTCGTTGACCTAAGCAAGCAGGCCAGAGGAGGGCCAGGGATGGATGATTGTCATCTTTGGTGCCTGAATACTGGGCAGTGAGTCCTTCTGGAGAATTAGACCCCCTTTCTAACCCTGCGTTTCCTGTGTGGGCAGGTCAAGGCCCTTCTGGAGGAAATACTGGAGCGGGTGACGGACGAGTTTAACATCCTAGAGCTGATGGCCAGGGTGGAGGAGCGCACCCCCTACATCGTGGTTGCCTTGCAGGAGTGTGAGCGGATGAACACCCTCACCAGCGAGATCCGGCGCTCGCTGAGGGAGCTGCACCTCGGCCTGAAGGTGCGTGAGGACTTGGGTGGGAAGGGCGTTGCCAGCTGGGCCCCCTTGAGGAGAAAGTGGGACCGGGGATCCTGGGAGCTGGAGACCAGTTCTCCTGCAGCAATCCAAATGCCCAAGAGGGTGTCACCCCAGAAACTGGAGTCTGCTCATGCTGCAGGGCGGGTAAGACACAAGTTCTAGAAGCCTGATGCTGTGCTGAGGTTAGAATGGTGGTCGGGTAGGTGAGCTGCCCAGGAGACTACACTCTGAATGACCACCGAGACAGAAGTCTTCACACCCGAGTGTCTTCTACTGCCACAGGTAACACCGCTTTCCCGTGAGGCAAAAAGGTGTTTGTCTCTGAGTTTCCAGGAGGCTGCACTACGGTTTCTGTCCTCGGGTCCTAAAAGTACGATTATAGACTGGCATCAACTCCCAACTCTTCCACGTCCTCACTCTGTGGCCTTAACATGACTTAAACCTCGCTGTGTCTCAGTTTCTTCATCTGTAAAACAGGGGTAATTTCACAGGGCTTTGGGAGAACCAAGTAAATTCATTTATATAGAGTGTTGAGAACAACGTGTTAAGTACTCATAGGTATTAGCAGGAAGTCTTATCACCCCATCAGGGGAA